CAGCACTCCCCTGCCGCTCCTTCCTGTGTTGCAACTGCTGCAATATAGACACAGTATTGCAGATATCACAGCTGACAGGATGGCGCTGCCCTATAAACAGTGGCAGGAAACTATTGTAGTTCTGCTCAATTACTGTTGCTTTATTTGTACCATTTACAGTAGACAAAGTATAAAAAGAGCATTGTATTTTGACATATCGTAGCTGACTAGTAATATTATTATTGATGTAAGTAGAGTTAGTGACCTGTGAGTAGTATCTACTGTAACAGTTGGTTGTAGTATGTAACACCATTGTGGCCTCTGGTAGTCTCTTATAGCATGGGATCATTCTACTGCAGCAGTAACTAGTGACCTCAGGGCCCCGTTGCAGGAATCCATGAAGCCCCCCTTCCCAAGAGGAAAACAATTAGATACATTGTTTAAAAAAAAATTTTTAGACAAAAAAAAAACCCACTCTGCTCTTCCATGTCTCCAGCTCCCCATAATCTCACCCTTCATGTCCCCATTACCTCCTCCTTCATTACTCCAGTTCTCCTCTCCCTGACCTCACACTCTCCTCTTCCATGTCCCCAGATTCCCCCCATCTCCCCCTTCATGCCCCCAGCTTTCAGCTCCCTGACCCCACACTCTCCTCTCACATGTCCTCTTCATATGCTCAGCTCTCTATATCTCCCCCTTCATGTCCGCTCATGAGATCTTTGCCATAAGCCTACATTAAATGGCCCTAGTAGAAATACCCTATATACTGTCAGTCATTTTGGTGTCACCCCTCCAATGGTGTCACCCGGGTGCGGGCCGCACCCCTGCACCCCCTTTATGACACCACTGAAGCTATGTACAATGCCAGCCATGATCTTCCTGCATTGCATAGAGAAATAAAGAGATCCAGTGATGATGCCACTGGGTCTAGAATAAGGTATGTAATGAAATCATAAAGGTTTAATTTATTAATTTCATTAGCATGTTGATGGTGGGGGTGGTGGGGCATTGGAAGGAGGAACAAGGGAAGGCAAAATATAAGCAGATTAAACGTCAGCTTTAATATCATTATTCATAAGCAGTTGCCTTAGGCCACATACATACAATACATATACAAGTATTTAATGGTTACTGGGCACAGGCGCCATCATGCGCTACTTCGGCCTTCAGCTTTGTGCATTTAATGGCTCCCAGTCCGCACAGGTTGAACGTTTTCTGCCTCCCAGAAGAGCCAGTCTTGACGCAGAACAGCTGTTCATTATTTTCAGGGCACTGATACGGGAGCAGACAGAAGCACTGAGAGCCTGCCAAGAAGAAAGGAGATTGATTGGAAGTTGTCTAACGTTAGCAGAAGAATGATGTGGCACTACAATAAGTCATGTTTTAATATCTGTCCCAACAAACTGGGGAAATTCCAGCAATTTACACCTCATGAGAAATGAAATGTGTCTGTCTGCAGAATAAAATAATATGATGAGATTTTATAAAGTTTTGGTCTTCAGCCAGTGGCTTGGGAGTCACATGCGTCCTTCATCTCCCTTTAATTTAATTCCCAGTTGCTCTCAGCATCTGCTCCATGGCATCTGCTGCATTGCATGATAAGCTTTCAATAAGCCTGAAGTCAAGCGGAAGTTAATTTAATTAAAGATTTAACATTATTAATAACTTAAATGTTTTGAGGATTGTTTTTGTATTTAGCGTAGCCCACCACTGCCTCTTATGTTGAAATGTGGCTAATAACATGATATAGTTAGGAAATCATTGCAACAGAGTATAAAATAATGTATAATCATTTACAATTAAGATAAGTGTGATAAAATAGGACTCCATCCCATTCAATGGACCTCCCAATTCTGCATTAAAGCAGAATTAGACTCAGCTGCTGGGGTCCATAATGTATGATATATACAATAATAAGTACAATAAGTATGCATAGCATATTTGCACATTATGGCATACTTATTTGCAAATACCTCCCCCTTCCTCTAGCACTGTGACAACCACAATGTCCCTCATCACTCCATCGCCACTGCTGACATCTTCACCTGGTCTTCTAAGTTCAGCTTATTCTGACATCTTGTTTGGCCAGCCGAGGATGAAATAACTCCAATGTTTGTGCATATGTTAGTTTTGGGATCGTACAATGTGCTGCATATGCACGGCTCAGTGTATATTTAT